TTGTTAATAGTTAAAGTTGAAGAGCTAAATTAATATGTAAATTTACTTATAACTTGGTGGCTATTTGCAATATTCTAGCCAATTTTTGATTAAACGTATATGTTATTTACTAATAAAGATTCAGTACACAAAATCCAGTTGAATGTATTTAATGATTCCATTTTAATTAAATATTCATACAATTTGATAAATTAGAATTAAGTCAAAAGTCAAAATGATTAAAAATAGGATGCGCACTACTGAGGAGTGCCGTAGTAGGACGAAACAACTGTCTAGTGCTTCCAGGTTTTCCATGATGATCTAGTTTCAATTAACTCATCATTACAACTATTTAAAAAAAATACCATAATATTCACAAAACACCATCAGATGAAAATAGGTGGTAAAAATAATGTAATCTACTTTAGAAAACTATCCTTTTATATTGGCAATTCGTACTAATATATTTAAGGGTGAGTAGTAAATCTTGAACTGAATGGATAGGATGTAAAGCATAGTTCAGAGTTAGTTAACCCCTGAAGAGGTTAGACGCAGGGTATTAGGGAATGATGGTAATACAGTTGATGAGGTTGTAAATCTTCATCGACTGAGATAGTTAGGCCACGTGTTACGTATGCTTGAACATCGACTACCACGACGCACAATGCTAACCGGTGTTCGGAATGGTTGGAAGAAAGTTAGAGAAGGTCAAACCAAGACGTGGCATCAATGCTTGAAGTCATTAACTTCTAGTCTGAGCCATGTTGGTAGATGCAGACTACTTGGTTGGGTTCCGTGTGACTATCGTAACCAATGGTTGTAGACTGTGAATGACATGGCTCAGAATCGATCACAATGGCATCGGTGTATACACTCTCTGTATTCCCTTAAACTAGGAGATTAAAATCGCTTCATATCTTTCTTTCTACGAACTAATTCTTTCTTTCTGTACTATATCTCTATATGCAATCTTTCTTTTATATATTACTACCTCTGAATTAACTATTTCTATGAATTTGGTATTCATCTTGTTGTGTTAATGAGTTAGGTATGGCAACTTGGACCGATGCGTTGACGTGTCTGTTCCTACGTTGTAGCTGACTGACTAACTAACCCTATGAACTTGAATGATTCATATTTTCCACAATAATGATTACATAAATCATTTGATTTCATCTCATATGAATTAATTTTGATAAAAATTAGTTGTGACTTATCTAACCTTAATCATCATTATGATTATAACGTGACAATCAGTGATTATATTAAATTAGATTATGTCAGTAAGTAGGTTAAATCATTTATTTTTTTTTAGTTCTCTTATCTATTGTCTACATTCGATGGATGATTGTCTATAAAAATTTATGATGCAATTCATACAAATACAACTAATCATGAACTAAGGATACATACCAAATATATAGTGGATACAAGGATACAAACATAGAATAGTTGATAAGGAAATGTGATAAAAATGAAATGATTATTTTGAATTCGAACTAACTATATATCAATGAGAAGATGTTACTTACTTACTTATTTACGCCTGTTACTCCTCGTGGAGGAGCATAGGCCACCTACAAGCACTCCCCATTCAACTCTGTTCTGGGCAATTCTTTCCAATTGATCTCAGTTGTTATTTATTCTTTTCATATCTGCTTTTATTTCCCAATGTAATGTGTTTGATGGCCTCCTACTTTTCCGCTTTCCTTCAAGATTCCAAGTTAGGACTTGCTTCCTGATGTAGTCTAGTGGTTTCCGTAATGTATATCCTATCCACTTCCATCGTCTTTTCTTAATTTCCTCTTCACATGAAAGCTGGATTGTTCACTCCCACAGTAGGCTGTTGTTGATGGTATCCGGCCAATGGATGTTGAGTATGTTGCGTAGATAACCATTTATAAATACTTGTATCTTCTTGATGATGGTTGTAGTATAGTTGTCCTAGTTTCAGCTCCGTACAATAGAACTGTTTTGACGTTCTTATTGAAGGTTGCGACTTGGATATTGGTTGACAGTTGTTAAATTCATCCTTTAATAATTCGTATTGATCTAGAATTAATTAATTGACTAATTGCTGTCATTGAATGTCTATCTTATGCAGTAAGGTAAAGCACGCTCAATATGGAATATGATTTATTGAATTTTAAAACAATAATTCAGTTTTAACATACTCGTTATAAGCGATGAATATTCTGGAATAGACTCCTAGTAGATCCCTTAAGAATTTATTACCAAGACAAAACAACTGCTTAGTGATCCTTAAATTTCAATTGTTGTCTTCTAAATTTAGTTCTTATTTAGAACCAACTTACTATTAAGATGAGTTATGGAGTTTGTAATCACTTGAAAAATTAACATCACTCTTGTACGACTGCATAATTCGTATAAACGAGTAATCATATGACTAATACAATCGATAAAAATTCTTCGTTTGTTTGCCAAGCAAAGAATTAACGAATTTTGATGGTTGAATTCATGAGTCGACTTAACCTAGACCACCACTGAAAACCTGGAAGCACTGGACGACCGTTTTGTCCCAGTATGGGACTCCTCATGGGCCCAGCGACTAAAATTACTACAATCTCCACAAACCGCAATTCTGATAATAATCATCATGTGCCCACCAGTGACTGACTTTAAGATGAATTTCCTGAGATTCTAATGAGAAACCGTGACCAGTGGAGTTCAACCGTGTCAGTTATGAGGCAGTTACCTACTGAAGACAATCGTGAACGGTCGCGCAATATCGTGGATTGATTGAAGTTAGACACTAACACCGTTGGATACCGACTCAATGGTCTAGAGATAAAGCATTTTCACGTGAGATCAAAAGTGCTGGTTTGGAATCTCGCGATGCAGAATCGTGGATGCGCACTGCTAAGGAGTCCCATAGTAGGACGAAACGGCCGTTCAGTGCTTCTATGTTTTCCATAATGGTGTAGCTTGATTAATTCAACTACTAAATTGGTATAATATCCACAAAACCCCCATCTGATTATATAGTACTGACTGAATAATTATTTAGTCAAGTTGTTTGTATTACTACTTTAACATGAAGTGAAGTAATTTCTCCTAAATGAGATTACATTGAAATCAAGATCATGTTGAAGATAACAATCGTCGGTTGAAATTAAAGGAGTAGAAAATCTCTAAATAGTCTGTTCATCGCTATCATATTCTTATTCATATTATTATGAATGTGAATGATCATGGTGATAACTAGACAAAAAGCTACACTTAGTTTTAATAAAATGAATTCTAATCAAAATTTAATTGAAACAGCTCGGCATAGTGACTAAACGGTCAAGCTCATTTCTATATAGTTAGTAATATCTGATATGAAATAATCAACTATTTCTAACCATAATTGATTATGTAATAAGTAGTTATATTATTCAGACGTCTAATGATGACATGTTTATGAAAACAATGAGTAGTACTCAGGAAGTATTCAAATAATCTCTTTAAATGAGGTCAATAGCGTTAGTGATTATCATTAGATAAGTTTTTTTGTTGCTTATTTTCTACAAGATAATCTTATATTTACACTAAATACATTGGGTAACATTAATCTTACAAGCTTCAGATCTAACGTATTGTAATCATTCGCCAGTACATATTCATCAGCTTTCTATGAATAGGGAAGTCTTTTCGACTTTCCTGGAATTTGATAATCAGTTATCGTTGTTGCTTTACACCAGATGGTAGAACATTCAGTGTCATTTGTTAGATCTCTCAAAAAATATCAAAGAACTGTTATATGTACAGTTTGTGAAGAGAAACAATTGAATGAAAAAATAAAACTAATCAAGTTTTGTATGAGGGTTAAATCACTTAATTGAACAGAATACAACTGAAATAGTAAAGCGCCGATAATAAATGCTTAACTATCCTGGATAACTGGTTGTTGCTAGGGTACTACTGAATTTTCTAATCGGGGAAATCTAGTCAAAATGGAAAAATCTTCTTTAAAATAAAATAGATACTGATGATTATTCGTATGATGAAAATCCATATTGAATATATTGTACCACTTCGTTTAAATGAATAACCGATTATAGATGACACCTTATCAATAAACATATTCGGATACCTAATCCAAGTATGTAATGTTGAAAAAGAACAATTTTCTCAACAAAGTACGTTACACAGTGAAGTCATGTGAATATTTCAAAGAGAGCAGACAATTGAGTTGCATGTGTACGCTCCTAGGGTGATATATCATATTAACAAAACTAGCTTTCCAATGAACCACAGTTTCCAATCATACTAAAATCACCTACAACTCCACAAAGATTCAAAACTGAAATCTATATTCATATCGCACTTGATATCACATCTAAAACGGAAATGGATGCTTATCCTTAGCCGCTGATAAAAGTAATCTATGTGGTATGTACATAGGAATAACTATTCCATGACTTATTCCACAATGCTTTTGTATAACTTTTTGCATTAACAATGATTTTGGTTATAGTTAATGGTATCATATTTTCAAATTAATTACAGGATTGGATTCAAATGCCCCCAAATGCCTTGATACGGCCGAAGGTGGGTAGAGTCAGCTCTCCCTCTCCAAATGCTCTGACATGGTCATGTGCATACAACCACTGACAGGGAAGTCCTACTCACTGCCTTCTCATGGCATTACTGTTGCTTACGAAAATGAGAGGACAAAAATTTAATATCTAGCGCTCTAACCGGGTTTGTGGTCATGGAGAGTCCAACTAAGGCAATTGGAAAACCCTCGTTCTAAACCAATCGTGCACATTGGCTCCATGATCCTGAAGGAACAAATCACGCATGAATCAACTGTCAGTCACCGACTACCATGGGACTGCATCTATTAACAATGCTCCACTGCCGTGTGGATTAGGCCTTTAGGTCAAAGGTTCGTGTATGGCCCCCTAAGAAAAACATCTATTTCATTCTGGGCACCTGGACAGTATCACACAAATCAAGTGACTTGTATGTCGCATTTCTATTCTTTGCCCCTTTATGTATTCAAATAAATTGAATTCAAATGATGAATATATTTCATAATGTTGTATTCATTTAAGCTGTCTAGGTCAATCATAAATTTTCAACTTAAAACAATCATTGGATTTATACACATATAAGTTCAAAATAATAAATCAAGATAATTAATCAAAAAAAAAATCTGTACAAATACATTGGATAAAATAACTAGAAAATAAGGCAAAATGGGATGGGATGGGATAGGATCGGATCGGATGGAATGGAATGAAGGATGAATGAAGTTTGTCTAACACAGTTGAAATAGTTCAAACTTATTTTCTAAATTGATTTGATGGAGATAGATAGTTATATACAAAGAAAAAAGTGATATTGTAACACATATACAATATTACCATGATGGTATAACTGTATTTGTTAAAGTTCCTTTAATAGTAGATAATGGAGAAATAGTCAAGTTACGTTTATCTCCACCTATACGTTTAAATGGTAATAAAGGAATAGGGGGACATGGTGAGAATAAATAACGACGATGACAATTTCTACCACCACTTGTTCGATTTATAGTTGAAGGTAAACGTAACTCAGTGAATCGTCTTTTTTTGACAAATTTTCTTCTTACATTATCAACACATATATCCTAAAAGATAAGAACAAATATGAAAAAAAAAGATAAAGAAACAGGATAATGTAAGTAACAGATAAACTCTGAGGACATGATTGAGATCATGAACCAATCGATGTTAGACTATCATTAGAAACCTGGAATAAATGGACGTTATTTCGTTCTATTGTGAGATTCCTAGCAGTGCGCATTACGATTCCACTCTCGAAATTCGAACCCGGAGCCTTTAGTTTCGCATGCGAACGCTTAACACCTCTAGACCACTGAGTCAGCATTCAACGATGTTAATGTGTAACCTCAACCAATCAGTGGATGCACAATGCTGTAGAGTTACACAATAGAACGAAACGTTCGTCCAGTGATTCCAGGTTTCAAATGGTGGTCTAACATCAATAGGTTCATGATCTCAATCAAAAACTTAATAATCTCCACTACCCTATACTGATATTAGTATACTTATCGTATTAGGCAAATGTGAGTTTTAGGTTAAGCATAATGATATGGATGAATGAAGGGATGGTTACGTTAAGCTTTTATTGAAAGTAACAACATATCTACCTTGGCTAAATTATCATTTTAAAATATAGTATATTAGTTCTTAGATAATCGTTTCATCTCATACATGGTAGCATAATAAATTACATACTAACGAATTGAAACAATCATTTTAATGACCTTGATGGTTGATGTTACAGTATATTTATGAATATGCGCTAATTCACACATAACTAGTAATTAAAAGAACCAAGGCAACAGACACTTGACCTTTGTATTAATTACATAATGTCTAGAATATATTGTTATTTCCAGTGTATTTAACTTGATCTTTTGATTGTATACAAACCAAGTTCCCTTCGAATTACATCATCTTAGACAGAAGCAATCAAAATAAATTAATTGGGTAAATTAAATTAGGTGAAGCGTAGAGACAGACTTGTACGTGTACAGTATAAATTAGATCATAATAAAACCTATAATATATATGTCTTTATGTACAACCGGTAATGTTATTGAAACAAAAGTACTGTAACTCACCTCTAAATGTTCATTTGCATAATTAGTGTATTTTGAAGGTGATAAATAATTCATATTCGTCGACATTTTCAATAACTTTGATGATCGTACAGAAGTAACATTCAAATTTTCATCATCATGTTGAGATTTCTCAGCAGAATATTGTATTGTATAATCTGAGGAGATTTCACCTACTGATCGACTCCATTTCAATACTGGTGTTTGTTCTATACAATTCTCTAATTTCAATTGTTGTTTACTTTTAAGTGTTCGTGAAATCTCCATAATATTATCGAATTGTGTAGGTGATGAATCTAACATTTGAAAATTAGCTAGACTTGTCGGTGTCGGTGTAGCAAATCTAATAGCTGTACGTAATGGTGGTGAATCGTCTAATTGTTTAGTATCTTCTTTATTTGTTTGAACTTGATTCAAATGACGTAACTGTGGGGATAATAATAATGTCAATCGGTTATTCTTTATTTGCATCGATTGTTGTTTCATCGTATTATGTAATGGTTGACAGTCTGTTTTAAATATTGTCATGTAAGGACTATTAGTACAAATATCTTGTACCAATGAATAAGGTAATAAAAATATATCTAAACCAATTTCAATTAATAAACTTGTGATAGAATTTAGTTGAAGACATTTTTCTTGACATTCAATTGGTGGTTGTTTATGGTTCTATAAAGAAAAAGAAAATAAATAGGATGACGAGTACCATTTCAAAATGAATTATCTTATGTCAGTCAGTCAGTCAGTAACAACGTAGAACTTCGTACGTACATTCATCAGTTCGAGTTGCCACACCACATTAGCACAGAGATGCAGTTGTCGATTCAAATCCCGTAGTGGTAGAGGTAGTAAGAGTATAAGCAGTAATCGGGAAGATTAGGGTTTGGAGATGTTATTTAAAGAGTATAATCCAGTGAAATAAATTCGGGAAGAGAAAAAAGAGACAAGGAGGAATCAGGATATTAAAATTTCGGAGAACACAAAGAGTGTATGCATCTGCGTCATTACAAACGATTTTGAGCCATGTCATTCAGGGTCTCTAACCATCGGTTGCTATCATCTCGCGGTCTCCAACCAGGTAGTCTACACCTACCAACATGACTCAGTCCACTTGTCAGTGACTTCATGGACTTATATACTTTCAATTTATCATCAATATCAGTTCATAAATACCATCATAATCCGCATCATTATGATCTCGGTAATTGTCATCTGTATAATTCAACTTTATCAGTACTGAATAAGGTATTAGTGGTAATACTATTATTACTCATTCCACTATTCTAATCAAGAGTACTAACTTAAACTGATGGACACATGAGTCAGGTTCCATGTTACGTATAACTGACTGACCGACTGACTGACTGTACTAAATGATTAATTAAAATGTCTACTGTTATTTTTGATCCGTTCAAAACTGATGAAAATCAGCCAACAAAAATTCTTCTTCCATAATATCAGATTTAACGAATTATTTATTTATTTGAACAGATAAACATCGGTACAAGGGGACACCAAATATATACGCACCACACAATAATAATGAGGTTGTGAACAGAGAGAGAATGTAGAATGTGTATTAGAAAAAAGGAGAACAATAACGAACAGAAATTAGTATATGGTATTGAGATAATAATAATATTAACTAACTAGGCGGCCTGTTTGAATGTCTGCATTACCTGTTCCTGTCATAAAAACATTCCAATAAGTTATCTGGGTTTTTTTTTAACAGATCATTATGTCAATTAACTGCATAACTTATTCAAGTGGGTTTGTGAAAATTTTACAGCCTTTCACTGTATTTGTCAGAAGAGAGTACAATCAATGACAGTGTGGTTCCTGGCAATATACATCGAACCGAATATACATTATTCAGATATCGGTTCCTATACTACTAACATCCAGTTGGTGATCACTCAATTATTTATTGTCAGGATCGTTGAAGAAATAAGCAATGGGAAACTTGTTGAAATTATTTTTCGCTGAGAATACTATCTTGTTACCGCGAGAAATCCGTGAGTAGGAATTCCCTGACAGTGGTTTTTATACGCATGATCACCTGAGAGGATTTCGAGAGGGAGAACTGAATTTCTTCACTCTTGAACATACCACGGCATCTGGGGGGGGGCTACTGACTTTACGTTTATGATATAAAAGTCCATTATGAATTAAAGTAATTTAATTATAAAATTGATTTAATTAAAAATCATAATAGAAATTATAATCTCTATGTTCAGACAAGTAGAAAAAAAAAGATATTTAACATCATTTCAATGTTGAATGTCTGGAACCATATTTGAATGATTCAATTCAATCTTTAAACAAGAATATCATTGAAAACATTCAGATTGTCTTATCGGATAAGATAATAAAGTTTGTATGTACGTTCAGATTATACGCCGGAAACAACAATACAACAACAATAACAACAACAACCAAAGTACTAAAACGCAGCATGTGAACAGTTTTTTTGTTGTTGTTCAAAAACAAACAAATAAACAAGACAATGAAACAAGTTACCTACTGTGTTATAATTTAAAAAAGAAGAAACTTAATAAATTCTATTCTCTATATTGAATGAAGTCATGGTAACATAAAGCAGATAATATGTATATATATATATATGAGATAGAGATAATAATAATAATAATAAAGATGTTTGAATGATGACTAAGAAATTTCCTTCATTCAGCTAACTATATTTTGTTTACTAGTTGATAATGGACTAATGAACAGAATGTATATATATTGAATATAGAATTTCTAATTTCTTCAATATATACAAACTCATTGACCACGTGTATTACTGTTGTTTACGAAATTGAGAGAACAAAAATCGAATGTCCGACGATTTAAATGGATTGATGGACATGGAGGGTTCACTTAAGGGAGTTAAAATAAAACACCCTAATTCCAAATCAATGGTGCATATGGGACACACCACTATGAGGAACCAGAAAGTGAATAAACCTATTGTTGATCTTCAGCTACCATGCAACTACATCTTCTGACGTTGCTCCACTGTGTTGTGGGTCAGCCCTTTAGGTTTAAGGCTCCGGATGTGACCCTCTACGAAAAACAATCGGGTTCGGTTTGAGCACCCGGGCAGTATCTAGGCCTTCATACAAATTGAATGGTTTCTGTAATGTATATCTATTTGATGCCTCCTTGTACCAAATTAATAAATTCCTTTCCGAATGAATTGCGAGGCAGTCCGTTCTGTTTTAATTTACGGCAGCGAAATATGGCCATTAAGAATGGAAGACACTCTTAAGCTACTAGTATTTAACCACAGATGCCTTAGAAATATTGCTGGTGTCTGCTGGCATCACCGGGTAAGTAATATTGAGGTTAGACATAGAGTATTAGGGAATGATGGTAAATCAGTTGATGAGGTTGTGTTGAGTATGCCTGAACACCGATTACCACGATGTGCGATGCTAACCGGTGTTCGGAATGGTTGGAAGAGAGTTAGAGGAGGTCAAACCAAGACGTGGCATCAATGCTTGAAGTCATTAACTTCTAGTCTGAGCCATGTTGGTAGATGCAGACTACTTGGTTGGGTTCCGTGTGACTATCGTAACCAATGGTTGTAGACTGTGAATGACATGGCTCAGAATCGATCACAATGGCATCGGTGTATACACTCTCTGTATTCCCTTAAACTAGGAGATTAAAATCGCTTCATATCTTTCTTTCTACGAAACAATTTTTTCTTCCTGTACTATATCCTTATATGCAATCTTTCTTTTATATATTACCACCTCTGAATTAACTACTTTTATGAATCCGGTGTTTATCTTGTTGTGCTAATGAGTTAGGTTTGTCAACTTGGACCGATGCCTATATGTGCTTGGTCCTACGTTGTAGCTGACTGACTGACTTTCTAAATGAATTTAACTGATTGGGAAAAAAAAATGAGAAAAAAAGAAAGAAAAACAACAACAACAACAACAACAACAACAAGAAAAAGAAATAAACTTACTTTTAAACTTTTAATTGTTTCATATAATAAATCATTTGATAATAATACTGGTCCAAATATTGTACCTAAACATGAACTTGTCATACGATTAATAGAATTTAAATTTTTAACACGAATTAATAAATGTAATAAACATTTTAATATTTTCATATTTGTATTAGGTAATAATTGAATTAATAAACGGATTGCTTTAATTTGTTTACTTTCAATTAAATGAATTAAATAATCATTATTTATGGAGGAGGAGGAGGAGGAGGATGTTGAATTTGTATCCTGGGTAATGAGAGATTTATCATTATTATTCTTTAAATGAAATTGATCAAATTTTCTTAAAGCTAAAACAAACAAACAAACAAACAAAAAAGAAATAGTTACTATGCTGATAAATAAATAAATAAATAAATAAAATCGATTGATGTTAGACCTCCCCCCATGATTTCAATAAAATAAAAAAAACAATAATCTGCAAAACCCAATACTGATAATTACCATTTGCTTATTTGTGAAGGAATTCTAGGAGTTCTAGTTAGAAGTTAATTCATGTTAGTTAGAGAGACAGATATTTATTTCAGTACAATGAAAGATAGTCGAGGAACTTGGTGGATTCGTTGAAGTTAAATATTAATATCATGATTGATTGTTGAATTGTTCACAAATTATTCTATACATTCTCATATACTATTTAGAATAATTAGATCCATTCTAAAATGATTATCATAATTATCATTTAAAACTAATGCTATTACTATTCAAATTAGTAACTATACAGTATCATTTAAATCTGTGACTTATTGATTGGACAAGGAATACTTTAACCACACACACACACACACACACATTTGAGAAAATGTTCATTAAATTAACTAAATACCAAAAACATAATAAGTAGTAAGTTTTAACCGTAAACACTTCACATTATCATATATACTCTCTCTCTCTCTCATATGCATATAACTATACAATATATGTGGTCTATTATTACTAATATAGAACAATACAACTCTATATATAGAACACACGAATGTCTATCGTTACAAAGTGTCATATCGTGTTCTATTAATAATTTGAATGATTAATGAATATCATTGAAGAAAAAAAAAAGGAAATTACATTTACATTTATGACAACCATTATGTATGACTGATACAATGAAAAGAATGGCGATCAATAACAAATAGCTTAGTAACCAGGTCAATATTATTCACTTTTGTCTATCATATTAATTTCATTAAAAAAAAATTTGAACAATTATTTACTGAATGTATCATTAACATTGGTTAATGGATCAATAATAATAATAGTAATGATATATGCAAAGATGGATAGTGCCTAGCAGTGGAATCCAGTTTAATGTACGGTTTTGTCCTATTTAGAAAGATTCAAACAAATAATACCAAGTGAATTTAAAACTTCACCAGATTATACAAACAAGTAGTTATCAGGACTCAGTAGCTAAGTGGGGAACTTGATGGCATTTGAAGCAAAAGGTATTGGATTCGAGTCCCATAGCGTACAACAATTCTGAGATGTAGATACATTCAGTTGACGTGTACCAAATAGGATTAAACGCATGTCGTGGTCTCCACTGCTAGCCACTATGCTTATAATACTTGTGAATTAAGGCTATATCGAGGCAATCCGCACAGGATGCATATATGCCAATAAGAGACTGATCAATCACAGTCCTAAATAACAATGGGAAGATACAAGTAAACTATACAAAGTGAAGTTAATAATAATAGTTGTCATATTTAAATAACTATGATTATTCTCTCTAACAAGTTTACTGAATAACAAAATAGTATTATAATAAAGAAGTGTGGATAACATTAGAAGTTGTAATCATTAACATAATCTCAATTGATATGTGTATATATGTGTGTATACAGTCATTAACCTTCATTTCCATCAATCTTCTATACTTAAATCTAGAAAATGACATATACATATATATATATAGATAGTTTTATGAAATGGGTTAGTGTTCACCTTGTTTCCCTAATGAGGTATAACAACTTGAATTGATGTATATATGTGCCTGTAACCGACTAACTAATTGACATTTTACATTTCTAACTTTAATTTATGAAAGTTTGAGATAAGAAATTCTAAAATAAAAGATCATCATATTAATATTAACGAGCAATCGATTATTGATATGGTGTTATGATTGGTTAGAACCAGTATATAAACATTACCCAGATCTGTGATTAAATTATGTTATTCTCTTATATGGTCCGTCCATTATATTAGTAACTAAGGTAAACCCTAATCCTGATTAGAATGTAATTGTAAATTGTCAGAAATAATTTGACAAACAATCAAAAAATCTGACAGAGTTTTTGTAGATATTATAGTAATTTAGTAATTGAATTCATAAGTGCTGTGTTTGAATCTCACGAGGCAGGATCGTGGATTAGTACTGCTGAACAGTCCCGTAATATGACAAAATGACCGTTCGGTGTTTTTCTAAGTTTTCCATAGTAGTATAGCTTCAATTGACTCATGAATTCACCTACTAAATCAAATAAACAAATAATCCCAATACACCATTAATTCAAATTGGTTAATTCCTATAGAGTTCAGAATCTATAATAATCATATAGACCCCTTATATATATATATATACATACATACTAAATTTAACGGTTAATAAGTCGACAATAAATATACGCTTGTAGACTAGAACAAACAGATGAGTAATAAATTGTACCAGATACTAAATGTTAATGAGATCGAAGTCTAATTCGAAAATGTTTAGCCTGTTTAAATCTATTCAATTTGACTATCATAATGAATTAAGTTGATCAAAAATAATGTCTATCTGAAGAATGAGTAAAATCGTTCTTTTTTATGGTTGAGATATGATTAGTAGTGTAATTCAATCTGTAGAACCATGGCAACAAAACTAATCATGATAATATCGGGTATTAACAAGAAATACTCTCTCGAGAGAGAGGGAAAAAAGTGATAAAAATCTGGAAAAGATAATCTTATATACGTAAATCATAGAGTTAAGAATACTTACCAGCTACTTGTAAGAATAATGGTAATAAATGTTCCGTAAATAATGGTGTTGGTAAACGCACCAATACTGATTTTAATGCACTTGCAAAATCATGAAAATTATATTTATTCAGTTGGAAAGCGTTTGGATCGAAAGTTGTTTGGAATACAGCCTCTTGTATTTGACGTTTACGTAAGGTATGTCCAGGTTTACGAAATAATCCTTCAACGGAACAAGCTAAAATAATATTTTTAAAAAAAAATTGAAATATTCTAATAAATGTACTTGAGTTATTTGTAATAATACCGCTTGAAAATATTTGTGTTACAGACAATCTAAAGTGTTGGGCATGGAGTTTACAACTCAAAATACCCGTAAAAAAACATACAAGTCAAAGAAAACCAATCAAACTGTTAAACTCTACCCTGTGAATTGGATAATCTTCAGATAAATGAGTTATAATGCGTCATGGTAAAAGCCAAGAGCCTCCAGGGGTCACTAAGACGATGTCGTCTTTGAATAGTCAGAGAAAAAATTCATCTATGTACATGGAACGTTCAAACAATGAGATAGAAAATAGCAGCGTTTCGAATAAGTGAAACCTACTGAACACAATATAGACAGAAAAAACTAACCTAGATAGAGATACTGTTGTATTCTGTTCATCAAAAATATAATACTTCACAAAAGAGCAGTCTCAATGACTCTCTCTCTAAGGAAATACGAAAATCGCTTATACAATGAAAATCTCATGGCTCTCAGATCACCGAAACATCATTTGAAACAATGAACGACATATTTGGAAGGAGGAACAATTGCTGACAGACTGAAAAGAGGGATTCCTCGTCAACATACCAGAGAAGATAGATCTTAATAAGAATAAGAAATACAGAGGCATCAATCTATTGTCGGTAACAGCCATAGGTTTCAACGGTGTTATTGAATCGTAGGAAATATTTAGTGGACGCCCAACATACAAGTGAACAAGTTAGATTTCATTAGGATAGATCATGCATCTACCAAATCGCAATGCTACAGATCATTGTTGAATAGTCAATAGAATGGAACACATCCTTAAAATGAGGAAGCATTCAACAGTGTAGATTATAAGCTCGTGTGAGATCTTCGATATTATGCGGTACCTGACAAGATTGAGACCATCGTGCAAAACTTCACGAATGGATGAACTGCAGAGTCAGTTATTGAGAAGGGTCAGAGGTGTATTGCAAGTGAAGACTGGTTCCAGAACACTAAACATATGGTTAAGAATCGTAGAGACAAAAGACTTTAAATGGTTGTGTGATGAAGCAGCTGAGAACTGTTTAGTGGATCATTGTTGAACAGTCAATAGAATGGGACTGATTATTGTATATTAGCTTCCTTAAAAATGAGAAACCATTCAACAATGTACATAGTAAAATCGTATGAAACTTTCTTCGACACTATCGAATAATAATAAATGAATAAAAAGAAATGATAATCAGAATGTATATTTACCTTCATCATTATCCAAACAATCAATCAAGGTGATAATGTTATTCGCTAGTTCATCAGGAATATAATCCGATTTTACTGGATCTAATGGTGTAAACAAAATAAATAAATAAACGTGACAAATTCATGTTACTTCTTGTAAATCATCGATAAAAATCTAAGGGAAACTGTGAGGAAACCACTTTTTTTGTTTTGTAAAGAGGATGATAACAGACAAAGTAGTATGGGGTCAAGCAGACAATCATTGAAATATATGTATGTATTACTAATAGCAATATACTAGTAAATATTTTGTATGGAAAAACTAGACTACTATAAATTCATTTGGTCTTGTTTTACTCGTAACTTCCCATTGTTATTTAGGACTGCAATTGATCAATCTCTTATTGGCATATATGCATCCTGTGGGGATTGCCTCAATATAACCTTAGTTCACAAGTATTATAAACAAAGATGCATAGTGGTTAGTGATGGAATCCAGTTTGACGCCAGTTTCGTTCTATTACGGAATCGTCAACTGGTTAAACTTGTATCTCAGAATTCATGTTCACTGCGGGACTCGAACCCAGTACCGTTTGTTTCAAATACCACCACGTTCTTCACTTAGCTACTGATTCCCGATGGTAAATCGCTTGTGTAATGAGGTGAATTTTTCAATTCACTTGATATTGTTTACTTGAATCTTCCTATTGTTAATTTAAGACTGCAAATGATCAGTCTTATGTTGACATATGTTTGAATTCATGAAGATTTTATTACAAAAAATATGTTAAAAGTAAACATCTGTGAATTACGTTGTAATTAAAACAACAAATAGGATACACTATATGTTTATCATATACTAATACACATGTAAATCATTAGCCTAAAATGGCTCTTCTTTTGTACTTATAATGTAACTATTATTATCTCTTCTATACTAATTCATTTCGTTTAGTAGATTGACCTTTAGACATGAATATTCAGACAATTTCATTCATTAACTTATGTATAAAATGCAATAATTACACTTAAACAATAAATAATTCTATTTTGAAAAAGGTATTCACTTCAATTTGGGCATCTGGGCAATATCACAACTCTCTCTCCCTCACACACACACACAAAAATCAATGATGATAAGTGGCCTTATTGTTATTGAGTGGGGGTTATTGTATTTGGTGCCCCACCTCTGCTTGTACTAATGTTTGTGCTTTTAAATAAATAAACAATTTAATTCAGTATAATTTATGATTGAATAACATCTGTGATAAATTTTTCCCATAGAAAATAATAGTCTTAGTTACATTTTGATATTATTAATGATGACAATACACAAAATGTGCAACAATAAGCACAAAAAAAGGGGGAAGAAAGGGGGAGAGGGAAAAATATGCACACCTGTGAACGGATGGTAATAATGATGGTGATGATGATGATGATGATGATGATGATTCAATGAAATGAAACTTGTTTATTATCATATTTGGAGGGCTACATAAAAATAAATATGTACATACCAGCTGTGTTTTGTTTTGTTTTTTGATAGACAAAAAGTTACGCAGATTGAAATCATGAGTCAATTGAAGCTAGATCACCATGGAAAACCTGAAAGCACTGGACGGCCGTTTCATCCTAGCATAGGACTCCTTAGCAGTACGCATCCACAATCCCGCACCCCGCGAGATTCGAACCCAGGACATATCAGTCATGATTTCAATTTGGGAAATTTTTAAAATCTCCACAAACCCCTTCTGATAAGACAAAAATTTAATCAGAATTTGTATTTTTCTATTAATTGAAATAGATTTTTAAAAATATTCGCTCGCGAGCAAGACTGATATGCTCTGGTTTCGAGTTTCGTGAGGCGAGATCGTAGATACATATTGTTGATGAGTCCCTCAATAGAACGAAACTGCCGTCCTGTGCTTCCAGGTTTTCTATGGTGATCTACCTTTAATTGATTCAAGATCTCAACTATTAAAATTCACAAAAATATCTACAAAAACCCTCTCTTATACTAAAGATTATTTGTTCAAGATATAGTATTCAATGTTCTAAAATCAGTTGGATCATTATTTACACTGATTTACTAATTTAGACAACCATATAACAGTAATACTCAACATAATTATACCAATTTTGAAGACAATTCATGTATAAACGAGTTAATTAATATAACTTTTATGGTTGTTGAATAGAATATTCATCCAATAGACACTAACGGTTGACTTAATTTATGTCTGAACAAATTTAAACAACAACATATGAATAGTTTGTGTTGAGCTTTCACAAGGAACCTAACAAACATTTAATCAAGTAGTTTCAAATGCCATGGTACGGCCGAAAGTGGAGAGAGTCAGCTCTCCCGCTCAAAACAATCTCATATGCTCACATGCATACAACCACTGTCACACAAATCCTACTCACTGCATTCTCAAAGCATTACTATTGACTACGAAATTGAGAGGACGAAAAGTGAATGTCCGACTCTTTAACTGGATTGGTGGATATAGAGCATCCACTTAGGGCAGTTGGAAAGCCATCATTTCAAACCAATCGTGCACATGGGCACCAGTATCTTGAAGGAACAAATGGTGTATGAACCAATCGTTGATCACCGGCTACCATGAGACTGTGTCTTTTGATGTTACTGTACTGCCTTGTGGATTATACCTTTAGGTCGATGACTCCGACTGTGGTCTCCTGAGAAAACCACCTGTGTCAATCTGGGCACTCGGGCAGTATCATAGCCCACACCAAAATCAACCAACTTTTGTGTCGCATATATATTCGATTCCCCTTTGCACCGATATTTATAAATAGTCTATATTATTACATTTCGGTGAATATGACCAAAACCGATAATTTTCGTTGCAGAATTCAACTTGATTTGATCGATTCACAAGTGATCTAACCAACTAAATAAACAAAGAACAACTAGCTATTCAATGTAAACTTACTACTTTTTTTTCAAATGTCGATAAGTATTACATCATAAATCAATTACCATTTATTTATTTATTAATTATTATTATTGTTATGTAATCACTATTTCCTTTTATTCTTTTAAGAATTGTAACCTGTAATGTTTCATACTATTGTTCACTCTTTATTACGTAATTATTTGAATGATCAATTTGATAAACAAAAATATCAATGATACATATGAATGACATCATAATGACTATCAATGGCATCATAAAATATAAATAACCGGCAACATAACACAGGAAAGAGTATGCCCTTCATGAAGTCAACACCACCACCACCACCACCACCACCAACAACAACAACAACAACCAAAAAACAAACAAAGATATTGTAAGGGAACAATCATTCAATGAATAACACAATTCAAGTGTGAAAAAAAAACAAAACAAACAACATCATCTTAATGATTCATCAAATTATTTATGCATCGTTAGAATTGAGGTTTTTGTTTACTTTTTTTTGTTTTGATTTTTAGTTTTCACCTAATGAAAAATGATTAATTTTCGATGTCTGTCAAATAAAATTAATGAAGTCAATGAGACAAAACAAAATAAAAAATGATCGCGTACACCTTTTACATGTACAGTAATAATAGTAATGGATACACAGAAAGGAATACACATGCTACCTAAGTATGAATTTGAATTTAACACAATCCATTCGTGAAAACTGAACTTATCATGAAATGACAAAATATGTTTGATCAATGAGAAACAAGTTGAAATATTGATGTTTACCAATTGAATCTATTCAATGATTCATGATTGTCATTATTAAAGATCGATTAAGAAGATTGACATTTCTTATTTGTAGTCAGAAGGGGTTTTTTGTGGATATCATAGTAATTCAAGCTACAACACCATGGAAAACCTGGTCTGTTGTGAAATAGTAACTCATTGATGACAATGGTGGACGTTGAAATAATATCGTGAATTGGTTAAAGTTAGACATTAACAACATTAGATGCCGGTTAGCTCAGTGGTCTAGTGGCTAAGCGCTCACGTGCGAAACCGATATGTCCTGGGTTCAGATCTCGCGAGGCGTGGTCGTGGATGCGCACGGTTGAGTCCCACAATAGGACGAAACGGCCATCCAGTGATTTAAGGTTTTCCATGGTGATCTAGTTTTAATTGACTCATAAATTCAACTATTAAATTTGAAATTTGGAAAGAACTAATGTCAACTTCCAGGTTGAATTTTAATATTCACATTTCCCTATTTGTTCCATTCACTGTTTAGTTTTATTACTGTTAAATGAAAAGTAAAACTGGAATATTCACCTCTTGTTTATTACATATCAGAGGGAAAACTATGGAAATGGGGCAGTAGATTAGTACCACAAACAATTTACTAATACAACCAATAAAACTTAATGGTTGAATTCATGAATCGATCTAAGCTAGACCATAATTGAAAATCTCGAAGCACTGGATGGCAATTTCATCCTAGTATAAGAATCTTTAATAGCATTCATCCACTATCAAACCCAGGACATTCGGTCTTGCTTGCCAACGCCTGAACTCTAGGGCATTGAGCCGGCATTCAACGGTGTTAATGTCTCATTTCAGTTTATTCAGGGTCCCACGTACGGAACAATGGATGTGCACTGCTGATGAGTACCATACTAGGGCGAAACGGATGTTCAGGTAGTCCATGTATTCAGTTGTGGTCTAGCTTATATCACTTGATGAATTCAACTACCTAATTACTACAATCTCCACAAAAACCCTTAATCTGAAAAGTTTTTTTTATCAAAAATAATGTTCTCGAAACCTTAATAAACTAAAAGGTATTCACAACATAATTCATTCTAATGTATATTCAAATGTTTCCATTACATTTTTCTTCATATGTAAATCAGATAGAATAAGATTCAGTTGTTGTACTTTTAATAAATATCTAGACATCTGTTTTACCTCCCCCACACCATCCTACCCCTTTCCATTGATTCGCTCTCATTCTATACATTCCAGTAACAGTATGCAACTAACATACATATATCATACTTTGTTCTAAGATACATACTTACTGTCTGGAATTTCTTTTCTTTGCAGTACTATTCATTATAATTTTCATACAATCTTGGTGTTTTTACATTCGTCCCCAAACTAAGTTTACAAACTTATAAATACTTATATATAAGCATTAGATGTAGTAATTATAATGTAGATAGTGTGCTTCAGTGAAATGATAGTAACCCTATTTGTACAAATATTTTTTGTTTAAAATGAAAACATGAAAGAAGTGAAGAAGTTGAATTTCTTGTGTCTATTCCATATAACTGAAGTGTCATATACTAGAGATACATTTTATTTTTGTTTAAACAATAGAATAAAGTATCTTGACAACTTGATATGATGGAAACAACTACTTAAATTGTGTATTTTTGGTACAATTTGTCTGGTGATTGTTTCGATACAGTTTTAGTGTTTAAAAACAGTTTGCGTGTGTGTGTGTGTGTGTGTGTAGAACAGACCTGTTTATGTTCATATTTTAAGTAAAACATCATTGTTTTTGAAACACATTACAGTAATGAAACACCTAGTATAACTAACCGCTCACTAACTCATCCACCCCTATACACATGCACACAATACACATAAATATATATAATTGCAAGGAAGAAGAAAAGAATAACTAGTGAACGGAACGAAAAGAGAAAAAAACAACAACGACAATTTAGGTATAAAATAGCCAAGGATTCTTACACATCGGTTCATTTCATTAAGTGATTAAATGAATAATGAGAAGCATAGATGAAAGAAAGAAAGAAAGAAAGAAGGAAAGAAAAGACGGACAACTAGACAAGAGAACAATTCAAATAAACAAAAAAAAACAAAAGAATCTTAAAAAATGCAAAAACGTATTATTAATTATTCTGGTTGTCACTAACTAAATACAACAATTAATAACTAAGGCATGTGAAGTGACACTTAATACACATATAACCCTTCATATTAATATCGATACCATTAACCCTGATAATTGTTATTTCATTATTTATTTAAACATGTAAATATTGGTATAAAGGGGCACTAAATACATATGCGATACACAAGTCAATTGATTTATGTGAGAGCTGTGATAGTGCCCGGGTGCCCAAACCGAAACAGGGGGGGCAACACTCTGAGCCCTTGACCTAAATTTCTTATCCACAAGCAGGTGGAGCAATGTTCATAGGTTTATACACCATTTGTTCTTACATGATTTGGGAGCCCATGTTCACGATTAGTTTGGAATGAGGGTTTTTCAACTAGTCCTCTTTATTTCGTAAATAACATCCCCGCCTCGAGAAGAACTTCTTTGTCAGTTTTTGTATGCACGTGGCCATGTAAGAGTATTTCGAGAGGGCGAAGTGACTCTCCCCATTCTCATTTGAGCATTTCTGGGCCAAATTATTAAGGACTTCCTAGTATTATCAAGTTGCCAGGGTGAATGATTTATTTAATTTAACCAAAATTAGATATAAAATAAATAATGCTCAGTTGAATGATTAATTATTTGATGCGTTTATGAAACATTAAGAAAACTGGCAACAATAACATGAAGGAATTTGTTGATGTTAACATGAATTTCAGAGAAATAGTAAAGAACAGAAACGGTTTTCAAGAGCATTTTACGCAACAAGGCAAAAAAACAAACCCGTACAAGGAATAAGCAGGGATTAATACCATTTCATTCTTCATCATGTGATCGCAAATAATGAGGTTAAGAGATCCGACTATAAGATCATACAAAAATTGAAATACAATTTGATAATTCTATGATTTGTTTGCATTATTTTCTTCAATTATATCACATTCTATCATATAGTTTACTAATTATGAATAGCTAGCATACTCATTAATGGTGTCGGTGTATACACTCCCTGTCTTCCCTTAAACTAAGAGATTAAAATCACTTCCCATCTTTCTTTCTATGAACCAATTCTTTCTTTTTGTACTATATCTCTATATGCAATCTTTGTCTTACATATTACTACCTTTGACCTAACCACTGCTATGAATCCGGTGTTCATCTTGTGTGCTGATGCGGTATGACAACCTGAACCGATGCACATATGTGCCTGGTTCTACGTTGTAGCTGACTGACTGACATTAATGGTGTATATATCGTTTTATTTGTTTTTATATGGTGTAGTATACATAAGCCAGATGAACGAAAATGTGTTAGATTAGTATGTTAACCGATCTACAAAGCTTGATGATGTTTAAGATACAAAAAACGAAATTGGTATAAATATAGGAAATCATTCATTCATTCATCGGTTCAAGTTACTAAACCATATTATCAAGACATATCTCTTAACTAGTATAAATAGCATCAACAGATTTGACATAGAAGACATAATTCCTAAGTAAATATATGTGAAACTGTAATTGATTCTGGGTTATGTCATTCAGTCATTTAAAAAAAATTCATATACTACTTACGTGAATTGATACGCCAATTATTCCATAATCGTTTAAGTCTTGATTTTGTAGTTCCACCAATATTTACAGAATTCATCATAGTTGATTTAGTATCTTTACATACATTAGTTGTTATAGAATTAAAAGGATGAATAGTATTATCACCATTATTATTATTATTATTATTATTATTGTTACTATGGGTAATTAATTTTTGATCAATAAAATTCCATGGTATATCAATTAAAAATGATAAATGTACCATGCATAATTCTTGAAAACGACGTGGATAATATTCACGAAATAATTTAATTTTCCAATCTTCTTTGATACCAATTCTTAAACGATATGAATAATCTTTAATAGTTAATTGTAATGTATCATTATTATTACTGTTATATTTGTGATTAGCTATTTGATTATGATCCATTTTAAAATAATTTTGATCTTGTCAAATGTAGAATAAATTTTTTATCAATATTGAAACTGGATGGTAACTTGTAGGTTTTTATTTACATTCAAATAATAAAAAATAGGGTGGTGAATAATTCCTAATGAGGTTTAGAAACCAAGTATGTTTTGATTGGTTAAATTAATTTTTACTTATCTATTTGTATAATGGTGACTTGTGATTGGATGGGATGTATCGTAGCGGGGGTGGGTTGGATGGTGGGATGGATTCTGGAAGAACGATTACTATTATTAGTATGTTATTTTACAAATATAAACTCAATGAATATTTTCATTAAGAAGTAAGGGGTAAAAATTGAGTAAAGAAATATTATCAGTATAGGGTTGTGGAGGTTAAGTTTTTGATTGAGATCATAAACCGATTGATGTGAGACCGCCAATGGAAATCTGGAAGCACTGAATGGCCGTTTCATCTTATTGTGGAACTCCTCCAAAGTGCGTATCCACGATCCCGTCTCGCGGGACTCGAACCCAGGGCCTTCAGTCTCATGCGCGAACGCTTAATTTCTAGACCACTGGTGGTCTAACATCAATCGATTCACGATCTCGATCAAAAACTAAAGAAATATTGTTTTTAACAATTAACTTTTCATCATGGCTTTATATCAACCAATATAGGTAGATTTTATATTTGAATATATATATATATATATATATATATATATATATATATATATATATATATATATAATATATATATATATATATATATATATATATATATATATATAATCAATACCAATCGAAAGGTTATAAATCAATTAAACGTGTTACCTTTCAGTAATAATAGTGGGTATAATGAACAACTAGATCAGATGAGTGAATGTGAAATGAATCCCTCGATAAGATGTGTATAAATTCTTAATTCAAATAGCTTACAGCTAGTTGTAACTGTCCAATTAAAGGGATCGATCCAACCAACTTATCAATAAATCAATAATTTTAAATCGATAGTCGTTTCTATCTAACTGTATTGCTAATGTCGTATTGTGTTATTAATGATCCTTTAATTATGAGAACTGATTACAGAAATTTAAAAAAATTAGATGTATCTTTAGAGGAAAATTTAGATTAGGTCCCTGGGTGAGAGTGAATAAAAGTGTATACCAATATGTTTGGGACGTAAAGATTTTTTTGTGAGTTATTTTGGCTTCTATTATATGTGAAAGCCAGAATATTAAAGTTTCGACAGGTTAGAGTTCCATTATATCACTTCCTTATCCTGAATTGATTACATATGTGTTCTTTGATAAATCCTGAATGGTGGTGTCTGGAAATCCAACAATGAATTAACCTGGTCTCCTATTTTTATTCGAGGTCAAATCAGACTGACAAACTGATTGAATATTGTTCATTTTATTTATTTATTTATTTAAACACATAAATATTGGTACAAGGAGGCACCAAATAGATATGCACTACATAAATCATTCGATTTGTGTGAAGACTGGGGTACTGATCGGGTGTCCAGATTGACATAGGTGGTTTTCTTAAAGGATCACACTCGGAGCCTTCGACCTAAAGGTCTAATCCACAAGGCAGTAGAGCAACGTCAAAAGACACAGTCTCATGGTAGCCGGTGATCAACGATTGGTCCATACACCATTTGTTCCTTCAAGATACTGGTGCCTATGTGCACCATTGGTTTGAAATGAGGGTTTTCCAACTCATATGAGAACATTTCGAGAGGGAGAGCTGACTCCCTCCACTTTCGGCCGTAGTAGAGCATTTGGAGGTTCAGTGAATTAGCCTGGTCTCCTCCTTTTATTCGAGGTCAATTTAGTCTGACAAATTGATTGAATATTATTCATTAATGAATTATGAATTAGTGCTATCTTGAACAGAATGAACTAATTTATTCTAAGTGAAGGGTATATCTTATAGCCTTGTCGATTATATAACTATTTTGTTTTATAAATAATTGTATAGTAGATAGCTCATTTTATAAATGTTCAGAATCCTCCTGTCTATCAGTTGTCATTGTAGAATAACTTTAATGATTAAGCTATGCATTTTACGTTAGAATATAACATTCATATTCAGGCTGATGAAAATCTTTATATGTAATTTTAATGAAGACTGGATAAACACTTATCAGTGATGAAATGATTTGTTTAGCAATTTCTTTGCTAATTTTTGTCCAACTTCTGTTCCATTATGTGAAATATCCTGTCACGTTGAAGATATATCATGTGATGATATGTACACGAAGAATAATAGTAATCATAATGATAATAATAAGAGATATTCAGATCACCTTTACATAGATCATGACATCATAACAGGTGGCCTGTTTGAATATCTGGGCTACCTGTTCCTACCATCTGTTATCTGTTTTCTTGTTTGTTTTAACACATCATTATGCTCATTAGTCGCATAAGCTATTCAGGAGCTCAATTAAAGACATCATAATGGCTGGTAATATACATTAAAAAGAATGAACATTATTTAGATGTCGATTCCTGAACTGCTAACATCTGACTGGCGATCATTCAATATTTATCGTCAGGATCGATCAAGAAATAAGAAAAGGGAACTTTTTGAAATACTTTGTACTGAGAATTCTATATTGTATCAAGAATATAATATTGAATGAAGCCAATCATCATCATAATAAACCAAATATACAAAAAAATTGATAAGTTACTTGAAACAATGTCAGAGATTTTTATTCTAGATGACCAGGTTAATTCACTGTCCCATTTCCAGGCCTCACTATTCAAGATTGAACAAAGAACACACGACAATAGTAAGAAACTCTACCCTTACATATATATATGTATACAGAACCTCGACGTATTTTTTTTCTAATGATAGATGCACATACTTTGTATCCCAGTTAAAAGGACGTTAGTATTTGAGTATGTTTTACTATGCATATGAAATGTTTAAGTACTTCTGATATATATTGTCGTGTGTAGATATCTATTTATATTGTTCCTTTATGACAATGATCCAGGGAATAAAGTATATAAGCCTATTCCTGTCCGTCTCTCTCTTTCTGTCTACTTGTTTATTTACCCAGGCTACAGAGTAAAACGTTTTTTAAAAAATTGTCTTGGTAAGTCCCAATCTGACTTGAGACAATGTAACATAGCAACTGTAATTACACTGCTATATTGTTTTATTAAATGAGTGTATTCGACTAAATATTCGACTTTGAATTCGAAACAAAATTGGTTGATGAAATAATAAATACATCAAGTGACATTCTAGTAGGATCAAATAAACCAGATTGTCATCACTACAGTTTATAATCAGATAATTCATCTATAAAGAACCTAGCTCATATTACTATTGTACCATTCAAGTCTGTGTATAGATTGTTGAATTTCGAACTACTTGATGGAGTCCAAGAATATTTTCCACAAATAGACCCTCATTACATGATGTCTACCGAATGTCAAATCTCTTTTGATCTAGTAATTGTTTAAGTTATTTATCAGAAGGGGTTTTGTGGACATTATAGTAATTTCAATAGTTGAGATCATGAGTTAATTGAAGCTAGACCACCATGGAAAACCTGGAAACACTGGACTGCCATTTCGTCATATTGTGGGACTCCTCAGTAGTGCGCATCCACAATGCCGCCTCACGAGATTTGAACCCATGACCTGTCAGCCTCGCTCGCAAACGCTTAACCTCTAAACCAATGAGTCGGCCGTCCAGTGCTTCCAGGTTTTCCATGGTGATCTGGCTTCAGTTGACTCATGATCTCAACTATTAAATTTAAATTATTATTGTTGATCGAGTTTTTATTGTTACTTATCTAGTTTTAGAATTAAATATTACATGCTTAACTGCACGCTTGAGAACTATAAAATGACTTTTCGTGGTAGAATGTTATTATCAAAAGTTGCAGTCAAGCAAATAAAAGTCAATTAAGCTTGTAAGAAAATATTCAAATACCTCTTTACTTATATTCACGTGGTATTGTTTACTTGAAACTTCCCATTGATGTTTAGAACTATAATTGATCAGTCTCTTATTGGTATATGTGCATCCTGTGCGGATTGCCTCGTTATTGCCTTAATTCATGATCATTCTAAGCAAAGATGGATAGTGGCTAGTGGTGAAAACCAAGACGCACGTTTCATCCTATTTGGGACTCATCAGCTGGATATGCCAACACTTCAGAGTTGATGTTTTCCCTAGGACTCGAATCCAGTACCATTCGCTTCAAACACCATCACGTTATCCACTTATCTACTGAGTTCTGACAGTTCTGATCAATAGTATGAGTGTTATCGCTTTAATATTTATGATCGAAAATTTATTTTATTTTATTTAAACATATGAATATTGGTATAAAAAAGGCACCAAACACATGTGCGACACACAATTAAGTCACTTGATTTGTTTATGGGCTATGATACTGCCAGGGTGGTCAGATTGACACAGGTGAGTTTTTTGGGATCCACACCTGGAGCCTTTGACCTAAAGGTATAATCCACAAGGCAGTAGAGCACTGTCAAAAGACACAGTCTCATGGTAGCCGGTGACCAACAATTGGTTCATACACCATTTATTACTTCAGGATATTGGAGCCCATATGCACGATTGGTTTAAAATAAAGGTTTTCTAACTCCCCTATGTGGATCCTTTATATTTGTTAGCATCGTTGTTTTATCAGGATCAAATATAATTTGTTCAAGCCTAGATAGGTTCGTCAATTGGAGTTTTCTTAAATATATATTACCATGATTACTTTCTATATACACTCGCAATCTATGAACTTTTGTCTGATCTCTCCATCAATTATTCCATAATCTTTAAGTTATAATCCCTGGACAATCCACCTTACCATTAAACTAACGAAATACATATATATTTACGTCGATAAGCCCATAAAATTACACACACACACACACACAATTCACCCATCCTGCTATTCAACATCCGTTTTAGCAATTAGTTATTATAATAGATAAGGTGAAATAATGAATATGAAATACATTTTTATATTTTATAAAATGTTTATGTATATAATCATTACAGATAATGTTGTCCA